ACTTTATTTTATTTTCTATAAACACGGAAGGAAGGTTTTTACATAGAGTTCTTCCCCATCACAAGAATTCAAGTAACTGATCCCTGTCTGAGTTCGAGAAATAATTCCTGGATGAGACCGAAATTACTGTATAAGGAATTTTCTTCCCAGAGACGGACAGCAGCTTAAAAAAATTGCGGGTCATGTTTTGTAATACTGTACTATATACATCGAAAAATAAAATGAAAACAAAGAGAAAAGGATGGATGGTTCGGAAGAGAGTGGGTCGGAAATGACGGCAGTTCATCCAAGACGAAGAGGGGGGGGGGGGGATGACTGTGCAGAATTTTTCCCACAATTCCGACCAACAACCATAACGTCTTCATTTGTCGACCTCATCCTCCATGCCACAAATATTTCTCTCATCCTATTCTTTTTTCTTGTCTTGTCTCATTTTCCCTCTTACTTGTTTTTTTTTAACTTTTCGGTGGTCCCCTGAATCGCGAGCGTGAAATGCTCCTGTGTGGTCGATTGGCGACAGTTTTCGAAAGGCAGTTAATGTGTGAAATGGTGATAACTGAGCATCAAGCAGTGGTTGGAATATAAGCTTTTTGTGGATTCTTCGGGTCGTTAAGACACATCAACGCACACGGTTGTGAAACGCAAATAAAACGGGTGAACATTTACAGATTTACGTTCCTAACAAAATAAATCTCTCTTCCTAAACCCCAGGTGAGTAGTAAGAAATTTACAGTATAAACAATTCATGAGAATATATTGACTTCTACCAGAAATTATTGACAAAATTATTGACAGCGAAAGTTACTCTTGAAATTTGAAAAGTGTTCTCGAGAATATAGAAACCACGTTAAGAATCGAGTGTAAGTTATATTATTTGATTGCGAGTTTGTCACTAACAGTAATGCATCCGGAAAAAAATCCTACTGACTGCTTCATTGTGATACTTGTACGGTATAAATGATTCAAAAAGTTGAACCAATTGTAGAGATAGATCCATATTAATGTGTTGTCCGTAAACCGAGGTATAAATAAATGTTCAAGTTCAAATAAAAATATATGTTTCAAATATATTCAATCCACAAATATTCGTACAATCTCACAAACACAAAATCACGCATTAATGCGGGCCGACGTGAGAGAGGAGGAACCAAAACAAAAGGGGAACAGCTGCAAGGAAACGGATACCTTGTAGAGAAGGATCTCTCTCCATATATGGAGAAAAGAAAATAATCGCAATTTGGTTTCTGGGTTACAAATGGTAGATCTTCCCAGGTAAAATCCCATTTCAAAAATATTAATCATTTTAAAAGTATTCATCGAGAATTAAAAGCCCGCTGCTTTCGCTGGCGGATCACCACTTACAGCATTTCACTTCTTTTGAAAGTAGCTTCCCAATAATAGTTGGATTTAAATTTAACATCTTTCAAAAATAAACCCGAGAACATTCGAAGAAAAAAAACAGCAGAACTACACTATAGGCGGTGTTGTCGGTAAAATAAATCTTCGAAAAAGTGTACTAATTTTTGGTTGTGGATTATTATTTTTTTCCTGGACGCATCGCTTTTTTTTCGCCAGAGAACCTTTAGTTTCAGTCACTCCATTCACATGAAGACAGCATTCGAATGATCCAATATTTTATCTTTGATCTCTTTCAAAAAGAAGTACTGTACTGTACTTGCACAGCATGCTTAAATCCCAGATTAAAACAATATTTGAAGGTTTAATCTGTAGAAATTCACCTTCGCTTGTTTCGAGAGAATTTAACTGAAAATTCCGCTATTTGTTTATTTATTTATTTTACTCAGACGCAACAGTGACGCTGAAAAAAATAAAATAAAATAATATGCACATCGCTGCGTCATTAGGTCAACCGATGTTCTCTCCCCCCGTGGAATTATTTGGGGTATATCGTGAGGACAATTTTAACGGATCATCGTCGACTTGACCCAGTGGAAATCAGCGACGTATGACGAATCCTTCGCTCGGTTTAGCCCTTAAACGCGTTTTTCCGCAATTGGACGCAGTCGCCGTTCAGACGGACCCGAAGCCAGATGCTTTTCAATAGCGCGAACATTTTATAATGTTTTCATAATTCTTCGGCAGGAACCTTTATAGTGGCCTTTTTTTCTTTATGAACGTGTTGGTGTTTGTTTCACGTATTATATGATGGTTGTGTTCGCGAACCAACTGTGTGGTCATCTGTGAGTGACTGTTCAGTGTCTTCACGAAAAGTGCGGGATTTTTCGAAGAAGAAAAAACTCTCTTCGGTATTCGATTTTGCATTATTTTTTGAATTTCGGCATGAAAACCAAGTGCTGTAATTTTGTTTTGAACACGCAAAATTTAAAATGTCGAAACAAGTGACGCATCACTCAGTGGTCTTACAACGACTGTCGAGAAAATGTTGATAGCATAAAGCATATTATTGAACTACAGTATACGACAAACATTCCTTAAACACTCTAATTGTTAGCAGTGATTTGAATAGTCTCGTGATGCAAAAGATGTATTGCAAAGGGGGTGATTCAAAGATGTTAGTTTTTTTTTATTACTTTCTTATGGCATACACGTTTCTCAGTCAGATTCATAAAACTTCTGTGTAATCATTAAAACATCCCAAAATCAAGCAAAGTTTCTGCTCCATTTACCGAGGATTTTATTCCAAGGCAGTTGATAACTTATGCAGCTTCTTACTCACAATGAAAATTTTTCGGATTATAGTAATCACCAACGCTGAAAAGGATGAAATCAGAACATTTTTCCGTGGTGAATTTTTGTCGGATTTGGAAACTTTTGAAAGAGACGGTTTTCAATCCTTGAAAATTTTGGGATCGCTTTAGACCCCATTTAAAGTCATAAAACATGATAAAAGGGGCTTGAATTATTTCCTCACAAAGCCTATAGGTGCAGTTTCAACTCTGATTTAGGATCGAAGGAATATTGAATATTTCTGCAACATTGAAAGCTATTTCATAGCATTCAACTAAATTTCAACCAGAACAACAAAACTACAGTGCTGACTTATGGAAAAAGGCCTCGTCAATGAATACGGTCTTTTCTCGTGTAAAAAAATAGTAGTTCTCGCAGATGAGGGCTGAAAAGTTTGCTAAAAACTGTTCATACTCTAATTCTTACTGCTTCCTGAAGTCAACAAGAGTTCGGAAAAAAAAAACCGATTCGAAAGAACCAGAGAAAAACGACCGGAACCGCCAAGTGCTTTTCTTCCTGAAGCGGATTCGAGAATAATCCCGGTCCCTTTTTTTCACTACTAGTATTCATCCTTTAGCTTTGGATGACGATGGATAAGCAAATAATAAGAACAGGAAAAAAAGAGGCAGCTTATGGTAAACCGAATCCAGATCGTTTAACCTACATCTCGATTGCGCGATTCGTCAGCTTCGCGACGAGACAGTTGGCAGGAAAAGTGATACGGCCTCAATCACCAAAGGAAAAGGAACAGAAAAAAATCCCTGCCGGAAGGCGTCGAAAGGAAAGAAAAAATCCTTTAAAAAATAAAATTAATTCGTAGCGGAATAAAAATGCAAGGTGGAGAACGAAGCGACAGTAAAAGCGCAGGATGATGATGATGATGCTTCTTTTCGAGATTTTGTTACATCCTCAACGGCGCGTGAGAAATGTGACTCAAGTAACGCCGCTGAAGATGAGAGCGGAGCGGAATAAATGCAGTACGACAAATTTTCGCTTCCTCGGATGCAAACTTTCACGTTTCTTGGCTTTTCTTTACCGGATGATGAAAAAAAAAACTTATAAAATTCTGGTAACTTCTGGAGCACCCGAAAGAATTTTCTTCACGTTGAAAGTCGGCTCTTTTCCCACTTCCAGAAAAAAAATTAATGTAGTGTGCGTGATGCAAATTGTTTCCGGGTACGAAAACAGCAAGGACTTCGTTAAGATTACTACACGGATTTTTCAAAACCATATATACAGCATAAATTATTGATCAATTCGGAATCGCTCACAGTACAAACTTAATGAACAGTTTTAACCAGATTAAAAAATGATTGTTCCTTTATAAAGTTATCCACTTCTGCTGGAAACGGAGAACCCGAGAGGTTGAAATTTTCTACACATGGATTTTAAAAATTCCTTGACAGCCATTCAATGAAAATCATTACCATACGACTTCTGATAGGATGCTGTGAGAACATTTCTTCAAGAGCAAATTTAAGTTCTCAACCAAAATGATCAAGTCCTAGTTCACCATTTTCAAGCTAACTTTATAATTTTTATGACGACATATTTACAAAAGAGATTTGCCTGAAAGTTGCACGAACAATTTTAAATACTGTAATTCATTATCCAAATCAATTCAATTGGACTTTAACTTGAGCTTGAATTCAACTTGTGTATCTGAAATATAGTCTGCATTGTAAAAATCCAAAAAGTATTATTCATTTTGGTCCACCATGAAAGACACGATTAAAAGATGAATCTTCGATTCTCGAGATCTAGTACAGTGCGAACAAAACCTTTACCGATTACATCACGTCTTCTTGACTTTGGGTGAAGATTTTCAGAGGAAATGTTTGCCGTATATAATTATGTTATTATGTTAAATGCCCTCATCATGTTCTGTTAGGTACAATCGTCGTGGGAGTTCATCGAAATACAAATTTTGATTAATAAAGTGCTGGATTTTTTCAGGATGCCTGTTATTGGGAAGAGAGTAAAATAGAAGCGACATCTAGTTAAAATACAGAAGCGTGTGCATTTCAATAAACTACTTCTTTCCTAGGTTGTGCTAACAGACGAATACTGCGGCGTGGTGATTCCAGTCCGCGTAATAGAGTGACATCTGTTTCTCATTTCAAAATTTTTCAAGTAGGAAGTTGAGTGACTAACCGTTACATTTCGCTGCAGACATCCCGGTGACCCCGACCCTTCCTGCCGATGAAACATCCCTGCTGTGGAGCGTGACGCGCGCAAAAGTGTTATTCAGAGCCCTGTCCTTCATTATCCCCCCCCCCCCCTGTACAACAATGCCGACGTCCGTCGTGTCGTACCGGTCGCCGTTCGACGGGGACGTGGACCCTGGTTTGCCGCCGTGGAAGCGGGACCTGATCCTTCGACGCCGTGCCATGTCCCGCACACTGGGCACTCCGTTGACCGGCACCCTGGACGTGGCTTCGATCCTTGCCATGAGTCGCAGTAGTTCAGGAGGCATCACGGGGATTGTGCGGAATCCACCGGAGAGGGCGACGAATTCGACCAAACAAAGAATGGCTGAGCCGAAGGAAAGGGCGAAAGACACGGATAAACCCAAGCCCGCATCGAAGAATATGAGTCAGCCAGGTAAAGAGCAAGCTCCCCCTGCTTTTTGTTTCGTGCTGTTCTGTCAGGTGATCTACTGCCAACACTTCTGTTGCAGTTCCTGATATTAAAATAACTTTCTACAGTACTTAGTTTTCAAAAATGTTCCACCCTATTTGAATTCATAATTGTATGCACTTCTGCTAAAACATTGTCAACATGGCTAATTCGACCTATTGACGAACCATTCTTCCTTATAGAAAACTATATGCGTAAAACACCTCTGAAACATAATTAACTTGCAAATTTTCAGATTAAAAAAGCAACTAAAAGTTATTTAGCACCAAGTAAACCTAATCCCATTCCAGAAAACCTCAGACACTATTAAGCTACAAAGGTACCCGACACAAAGGTAATTTAATGGAATGTGCAAGTCCTAAATAAGTTACGCAAATTTACCCTGCCTGAATTGGTATTATACTGCATATATGCTTTATGTTGAACTCACATTTACAGTGGTGCTGTATGACAACACAAACTCCCTGAAAAAACTGTACAATAAGCAAGCATTTTTAATAAACTATATACAGTATTTAAAAATTGTACTTCATGCCTTCATTTTGGAACTTATCCAGATGTTTATAAGATGTAGCTAGTGCAATAACTCCCCTAGCAATGAACAACTGCAGGTAATGGATTAGATTTGTTGGATAAAGCTCTTTTTTACTGAGAACAGCTTTAGCAAGGAAGGGTGTAGAACGGAGGGCTGAAGTCAGTGCTGCCCAACATGCATCCCCTGAGCTGGATCTGACCCACAGACACTCTTTCAACCATTCCTTCCCTAAAATTTTCCAGGTGGCAACCACCACTCTTCAATGTATATGCAGTACATTGAAAGATGAATTTGAAAATTCAAAATGTTGCTCCATGCTTCAAAAATTTGGAAAATTTGGATGTATGCAAATCAATGCATATCATTGAATAAAATTGAAAGCTTTTCAATTAAAAGGATACAATTTGGAACCTAGAAAATAATTGTCTCTTGTGGCCTGCAAGCACTCTCCACCTCTGCAATGTTGCCCTTGGCACAAAAAAGAGGTAAATTACTGTAATAATGTGGAACTTGCTGGCCATGCATGAGTTGGGCAGCACTGGCTTACATAATTGAAGTTTTCCATATCATAGAAACATAGAGTATAGTAAGAATGTTTGTCATAGACGGCGTAGAAGAATCAGAAGAATTTTACTCCATTTAGGGGATCAGCCGAATACGTACGTTGGTGGATCGCGTACCAGAACAGCACGCGCTTTTCATGCATGGGGGAATACGGTCCTTGCGCATCGCTGCGCCTCTCTTACGACTTCGCGGCGGTTGCGCTACTCTACCGAACCAGTTCGTGGTTATCTCCTGTGAGAGTAATTCCACTGGGATCGGTTGCGCGTGAACTGTCCCGATCAACTCGTGTTGTGAATCCAGTGAATCTCGAAATAATACTTCAATCTTCTCCAGAATTGCTATTAAGTGACGTTTCCCAAAGCCCGATGCGGTTTCTTTTTAAATACTGTACTGTATAAATATTTTATCTAGCCTTAATCAAACGGTGTCCTGGTTCACTAGAATAATATTCAGGTGGGTACCCGAGCCAATATCGCGAGAATCAGTCATTAAGATACAGTTCTTGCGAAATGCCCTACTGGTTGCATGCTGTTAAGCCGTAGTTACGCCAATTAAAAGGTGGAATTGCAAAATACAGTATCCGCATTATTCTGTTTCAAAAAAAAAAAAAAAAAAGACACGGCTTATTGCTATGTGCAGTTTCCCCGTAAAATGGGCTACGACTTATTCCGTCGAAATGTTTTACTTTCAAGTGAAAACGAATGGAAATTTACGGTTAAGACCAGGAATACATGTTACACGACTGTTGGGAACAACGGAAAGTGAAATATTATTTTGTCAAATCTTTCAGGCAGGTATGAAATGTGAAAGAAAGCAAAAAAAGAGAGAATTATACGAATTGATACTGGTCTTTGCTATTATTGCTCGAAGTTGTTGAAACACATATTTTATCATTTTAACATTGCAGAAAAGGCTGGCGTCTGACAATAACCCCTGAAATTTTTCGATGTATATGCTTTCCTGTTCAATATTTGAAGTAAAAAAGGCAAGAAATTCAAAAATTTCGATTTTTTTGACTGCTGGGTAAACGCGTCAGCGCTGAAAATTTGAAAATGATTCACGATGGAGCCGTTCGTTCTTACCTCAGCGATCTGTTTTAAACTGACGATTATTTGATCTTCGTTTTGTCATTTGCTGTAAATCGATGAGATTTCAGCTACAGTATTGCAGAATCGTCCAACTTCATGTTATTTATTCAAGCTCAGTTCACCCAAAGGAAACGAATGCGAAATTTTTGCATTCTGAGGAGATGTTTACTAAAAGTGGATGTCCTAAAATTATGCGACCCCAATGAGCGTGACAAAATTAGACCGTTGAACTCAAATTTGAACATAAGTAATTTTGTCTTCAACATACAATATTTATATTTGAAGCCGTTGAGAAAATGAGCCGTTTCCACTTCGCAAAAAAAAAAATAAAGCCGCGTAAACGAGAGCTCGATTTTAAAGCCGAAACACCACATTGACGTTCAATTTTGAATGAATGATTACGGCAGGAAATCAACACCAAAATTCGAAACCTTGCGATTTGTTGCGTCCTCTCCGGTCATTAAATTGCTAAACCCATCCTCTCTCTCTCTCTTTTGCATACTCATATAAATAAAGCTATGTCATGGAATTCCAGTAACTTGTACATCCGCTTTTAAGTACTTCGATAGAAAGGAGTGCACGTACTGTGCTCCTATAATCAATGCCTTATTGATTATTCTAATGATAATTACGTGCTGCTGGTTTGCCCTCAAGGCTGTCAAGATGTTTTACATTCATCGTACCTTATTGCTCATTTGATCTACTGTACTATACGATACGATCGAGTCATACATCTGCGGCGAAATGATCCCAATGAATATTGCAATGCAGTGTTACATGAGAGGCATGAAGTACTTGCGGAAATGACAGTGATGACTACCGAACACAATTTTGGTAAGCATTCACAGCGAAATTTTTCGATTTTGCTTTGCTTCCTCCAAGCCCGAAACATACGACGCTATAATCGTCGTACAAGGATCAACGTGTATTTTCAGTCTTTATAGCCCATAAACTTGAAACAACCGAACATTCAATGTGAATATGTTTCCCAACATTACGCATATCAATGCATTGATTGTACAGTATTCGGTAGCAAATTTGTTCCTCGCATTAAGAAGAACAGGAAATGAAAAAAATATGGTAAATATATTGCCTAATCGCGTCTTTACGTTCAACTCCATTCGAGAAAACTGTTGTGTATATTTACACTTCTTTATATTTAAGATTCGGTGTCTCCTTTATAGTGGCAGAAGTAAA